TTACCCTTTATTGCTATTAAAAACGGGGCTAATTGACAGGAAGTGATCGGTCCTCTTTATAGAGACATCAGGTGTCTAATACACCCTTAATATCCGTTATTGACCCCAGGGACACTGATGAAGCACAAATCATGCTTCTTGTCTGGCTACAGCAGCTGGAGACATGACAGCCTAGTCCTGAGGCGCTATAATTCAGGACTGTGCTGTTTATATACAGCCTTGAAGTGAATAAAAACATATCCTTCTCAACAATATACAAGCTATTTTTGACAATGTGAATCCTGTGTTAGTAGATTGGTTTTGTTTTACTATGTAATCCCAATCTGACTTCTGCATTAGACTATCATTTTAAGGCAGCATTGCTAATACTGAAGTCTAACAATAACATCATTCACTTATTCAAATTATGCAAATTAATCTTTATCCTGTCCTGTGTAATATAGAGAGCCGGTCAGGGAAGGATTCTTGGACATATTTAGCTTTATCTATATTGGCTTTATTTATATTATCCATATTTAGCTTTATACTAGATTTAGCTAGTACCGCTTTCTCTGTTCTCCTTTCCACTGTTGTCCTCGGTATTACATTCTGGCCTGTCTGCTCTTCCCCTCAGCGTGTCTGTGGCAATTCTTCTGCAGGTGATTTTTCTCACTTTAATCCTCAGTGTAGTTGCCTTCATGTTCTTTTCTCTGATCTCTGTCCTTTATTCTTGTATAAACTCTCTCCCCCTGATGCCTATTTTCCCTTATTTTGTCTAATGTGCTCCTAATGCTTTCTTTCTTCTCCATCCTGTCTGTAATCTGGTCCTGCACACTGCTCCCTTGCCTCTGCTCTCACAAAACATTCACCATTCCCTGCCCCACATTCAAATTCCATCCTACCTCTGTTCATTCTCAACTACTGCTTCCTTCCCTTGGTGAACGGGTGCTTTCTGGAGAAGCAGCAATAAACAAAATAGAACTGTGTATTGTGAGAGTTACAAATGTGTTTGTGGTATATACTGTGCCTACTATATTTGCTTTAAAGGGGAATAATTCATATTAAGTGTCTCTTCTTGTAGGTGTAATAATGTATTATATATACGTGGAGTAGAAGAGGAGGAAGAAGATGGCGAGATGAGAGAATAAAGCAATTTCCAAATTTATTTTTGTAAATTAATTTTGAAGCATCTCTTTTGAGTTTGTTGTTGGACTTTTTTTGTATGTTTTATTAAGAAAAAAATAAACTGATTTTTTTTCACTTTCATTTTTATGTGTCTTCCAAGAAATCATCCTTCAAAGAACATTGTTGTCTTCACTAAACATTAATAAATTAAGCTGTTACATGCAAATAATGCTCTGCATGTCATCACTTGCTAAAGTGAAACTTTATTTTGTTATTTTTCTTAGCTTTGGATAGAGTGGAGAACACCTGTCAAGTTTACTGCTGTCCTGGGCTCTGATATAGAAGGGCATACCCTCACTTACAACCATACCGACAACTGTTTTACCAGACAAAGTGAATGAAAGCCTGCAACTGAAATATAATTTTATTTTTTTATAGTATGGAAAGATAAGCCGGGGTTCTATTTGGTTTTTTTGTCCCTTTTGCAAATTTTTCATTTTTCCTGTCTGGTGAAGCAATTGTCAACAGGACAGGAAGTGAAGGTACAAGTCAAATTTAATTAGGATTAATTGTTGCTTTTTTAGCTGTGATCAAATAATATGATCCCAATTTTAAGATTTCACCTAGTAATAATGCTTTATGACCTGAAGGTCACAATCTGAAGGAAAATGTCATGCATCAGGCTATTCACAATAATCTAGCACCGTTTCATCTGGAACATCATTTTGTGTTCGGTTCATTACAGTATTCTCTCCCACCCCCCCATGTGACAGAGGGGAAGAGCTGGTGTTTGACCATTGACTAGCTAGACCTTTATGCTCTACTTTTGTCTGATAGTTATGACTAAATTCTATAGCACGTTACCATCTACCATCACGTTCTCAAACAATTCATCCCCACACAGCTACCTCCTCATGTGTCCCTTCTCCCTCCCTGTTAGATTGTAAGTCCCTCCTTACCGTCTTGAATTGTATTGTGACTGTAATGTCTTCCTTATATTGTAAAGCGCTGCGCAAACTGTTGGCGCTATATAAATCCTGTATAATAATATAGCACAACATTGTAAACTAGTGTGTGAGATGGTGTATTAGGCTCCTTTCACACAGGATGTCCAATGAGATCCGCCTTTCAGTTTTTCAGACGGATCTGTTAGGAAAACGTGGTAACCCTATGGGCAGCAGGATGTAAACAGACATGTCTGTTTACATCCGATTACCTCCAAGTCTAATTCCGAAAAAAGACTGAGGTGGTTTGTGTCCTGCGTTTTGTCAGACCTAAACATGAAGGGTCAGAGGTAATTGGGTATAAATAGATACATCTGCTTGCTTCCAAATGCCCATATACCTAACATGGGTCTGTTTAGTTCAGTTTTTTCCTCCATTGCAAAATGCAGGTAAAAACTGAACAGACATGGTTGTCACGAAAGCGATGAGTTCCATACAGCTCTGATCAGCAGGGAATCTGTGCATGGATTCCCTGCTGAACGGAGGGGTGCCCGTGTGAAAGAGGCATTACACTGGTACAAAGCCTTTCTGCACGCAGTTGCCAATATTCGTGTCCAGCATTTCCACACATTATTTCTTCACTAACTCCCCCCCGTCAATATAGCCTTCATGTCTACGGAAAAACAATACAAATACCATTTTGTTTACCCCTGTGTTGATATCTAGATATCTTTATAACTCTGCCATTGCAAAGTGTAGAAAAGTTTTGGGTGTTTTTTTCCTTTGTTTACGGTATATAGCATTCGTAGTGAAGTATGGTAATAGATCAGAATTGCATGGATTACCATGGGTAACATACTTCAACATCAGTTAATATTAGGGATGCACCAATACTGTTTTTCGTTATCGAGTTCAGATTTTTTATTTTTCCCCACGGCACCGGTACTGATGCCGGTGCCGTGTGCCCCAATTATCAGGAAGTTGGGCGGCGGATCATGACCCGCTGCCCGGCTTCCTGAATTGCAAGGGAAGCCGATGTTCTATTGAACACTGTCTTCATTTGCCGAGGCTGCCTGGCTTTCTAGCCAATCAGGAAGCTGGGCGGCACGTCATGAACCGCCACTTAGCTTCTTGATTGGTCAGGAAGCCAGGCTGCCTAGCAACAATCAGAAAGCCGGACAGCATTTCATAGATCGCCTCTTGGCTTCCTGATTGGCTATGAAGACAGCTTCACTTGTTGCTAGGCAGCCTGGCTTCCTGACCAATCAGCAAGGCGAGTCATAACCCACTGCCTGGATTCCTGATTTGGTAAGGCAGTTGGCTCCATGCTCCCCCGACACTGCCGGTCAGAGGGAGATCTCCCTCTGACCGGAAGTTCCGGTATCGAGCATTTGGGCAAGCGTGTTTTTAGGGAAGACTAACAATCTGGTCAGAGATTGTTGTCCAGATGCTAGTCCAGTGTATTTGAGGAGTTGTCCCAAATGGGACCTCTGTAGTTTTTTTTTTTAGGCTGTAACCAAAGAGCCTTTTGAACCCTTTGGATTTTTGACCTTAAGGCTGCTTACCCTTAAAACCGCACATTTAGTGGTGGTAACTTCAGCCTGCTGAATCAGTGACCTTAAGGCCTGGTTCACGCCTAGGTGGCATCGTTTTTACGCGTTTGGCACATTTTTAAGTAGTCAAATATATTTCCAGCACTGACGTATAATCTTCAACGAGTGGTCATTTTATTGATGTACACCATCAGGCATGACACTGAGTGGCCCCAAAACTTTGCTTTGTGATGAGATGTGTACATCAATACAATGGCCACCTGTTGAAGATTTTACCTCAATGTGCTGATGATATATTTTACTACTTGGATTTGAAGTGGCGCCATCCCCTATCACTGCAGCACCCACCTTAAAAGGGACATACCAGTAAGGAGTGTGATGGGGACCTCTTTGGCACATTTTTAAAATGCTCCTACATGAAGACACACCTTTTCACTGGCAGCGCAAGAAACCTTGGACGAACGCGCATACAAATGCACATAAATGTGCAAAATGCTTCTCCCGCACGTTTCCATTGTCTGTGGGGGACAAACGTGCTTGAAACTGCCAAAAAAAGCTCATGTACTTTTTTTGTGTTTTGGCTTCATGTTGCTCAGGTGTGAACAGGGGCCTTATCGATCAGGAAACCTTTTTTTGTCTCTTTCCAAACTGATTGGATGTTTTTTGCCCAAAGTGTCCTACTTACTATTGCATGCAGGACTTCTTTCTATGTTCTGTCCCAATCTTGTTTACAGTCAAGTGGAACTTTTCCCCACTCAACGTAAGAAGCTGTGTGCTAAATTATCTTGAGGTAACTAAAGCTGGCCATACACTGCTTAGATTTCAAAACAAACATTTGTATGAAAGATCTTTCTTTGTCGATCGGAATTTAGTTTGATTTTAACGTTCAATTTTGGAATGAATGGAGCTTCTCGAATGAAAACTACATTCACTGTTAGAATTTCGTTCATCCAAGAAACCTTTTCCATCCTGCGCCACGTTTTTTTCGACACTACAGTCAAAATCAATTGTCGATTTGACATCATCAACTAATTGAAAGTTGAACAAACATTCTTTTTTTATGAAAGTCCTTTTGAAAATCTAAGCAGTGTATGGCCAGTTCAGAAAGCCAGATTTCCTATTCACCTTGTATGCATGTATCAAGAAGAGTCACAAAGAATGAGATTCTTCTTTTTTTTTTCTCCAAATAGATATTAAAGGAGAACTATGGGGTCAGTGTTTTCCCCCATAGTTCTCACGGGGGGACACAAACTAGCGTCCTCCTGTCACCCAAAGCTCAGTATACCGTGAGCTACAGCTCGTGGTATACTGAGACGCCACAGCCGGGACGGATCCCGACATTGCTGTTGAGATCCACCCAGCTGCGTGATTGACAGCTGGCTCTGCCTATCTAGAGGCAGAGCCAGCTGTACCCGCCCCGTCCGTTCAGCGCTGGAAGATCGGAGCGGGGAGGGGGGAAATCCCTGCAGTGAGCCGTAACAGTCACGGCTCTCTGCAGGGACATGATCGAGAAGTGAGCGGCGGTATATGTTCGCTCACTTTCCGATCTATTGAGCCGACGTGTGACTGTTTCATTGTCACATGTCTGCTCGAACTATGAGGTTGGGTGAAAATCACTTGCCTCATAGTTCTTTAAATATTGTATCTTTTTGGATTTTCTTTTTAACATGTTTTTCCAGTATGGAAAAATGCCATCTGTCTACAGTGTTGAATACCTCAAGTGGAAATGTGCACAAAAAATTGGAAAAACTGCTGTTTTTAGAGCTCAATTGTTCAAGTAAAAATTGACACACGTCAGAGCAGACTCCATCTCCTCCTTCTCTGAAGTTTCAATTGGCGACAGCTTTCCTGAGAGGAGTACTGTTATAGTCTTCCTATACAACATGCAAAGGGGTCTGGAAATTGTGTCATTTGTATTAAACGTTTATTGGGAAAACAAAGATTTGGGTTTATAGATACTCTTTTTTTTAGTTTTGTTTTTTTTTTAAACAAATATGAAGCCTGGCAGAGCAGCTTCTTCCTACAAGCTCACAAAAAGGACACTGCTGTGATCTAGAGCTAAATAGCAGAAGTCATTAATATCTTGCACTGGTGAATGACTCAGAAGAGGGACACTTCCATTTCCTGCATCCTAGCTAAGACAGATCCATCTTGCATCTGGATGCATTTTGTATTAAATCTAAGTAAGGATTTTATATAATTATTTTTATATAATTGAAATTATACAAATGACTGGAAAGTCCATGAAAATATTGTTTTATCCATTTATAAACATATTTTTTCTGGGGGAATCTGATTTGCTGCACACCTAAATCAGCGCCCTGACCCACGGATTCATAGGTGTGAGCCGATTGGCTATAGGTGAAATTTTTCATCTCACCACGCTCAACTAGGGGAGAGCATATTGCTAGACCCACTGTATGCAAAGCTCCACATGCCGCCACTTCCCTTGCCCTGGGAAGAACAAAATTCTTTCAATAGTATTTACATAACAGACCAAAAAGAAGTACAATGTTAGGATTTCTATACAATTTAATGTAAACCTCAAAGACAAATGCTGGTGGAGTGAGCCTCACAGGCAGTGCAGAATCAGACGGGGCAACAGGACTCCTGCATATGGGAGAGGGTTGCCCGAGTAGTAGTTTCCTGCAATGTTAACAGGGAAAAATTAGCAAACATCACCCCCTCTCCCCTTGTGGTGCTCACTGCAGTTCACCCTTCTGGCCCATAGTCTTCTGTAAATTTCTTAATTTTTAGCAGGTACTCAGCATTGACCGTGGGTCTTATTGTAGCAATAGATTGTAGCATATCAGACTGTAAAGCAAAAAAGACTGTCAGTGCGTTGGTGGACAGGGAACAAAATATAATACTTTAGCTAACAGAGTCAATCTGAACATGAAAATAGGCTGTAGGTGGTTGTAGCAATATTAGTCTATTATCATACCATAGGTGAGCACTTTCCGTGATATTTCTTTATGTGCACTAAGAGTTAAATTGTCAGGAAGCTTCCAGGCTTTCCCCCCTTTTTCTAGGTCCAAGCAGTACTGATACACAGAGAATCACCATTACCAATTATGAACCATTACATGAACGATTACATGTGGACAGCCATGGGCAGATGCAGCCACTTTTCAGCCTGTCGTTGACTTGAATGGGCACAGCAGCGGGATCTGTACAGAAGCAAACTAAGCATTTAAAATGTTTTATTTTTGTTTTGACTTTCTGATGCTCTAAAGAAAAAAAATGTATCAAGAGAACCATTTTAACCCAACTACAGGCACAATAACTGGTTTTAAATAGTTGAACACTCCGTTTCCTCTAAAGCCAACTGCCCTAATATACATATTCTTCTTCACCCCTCAAATGTTCCTGTTTACATGTGAGTGCTAGCTCCCACTGTACTTCAGTGCCTGCTCATTTATAAGCACTGCTTACTGTTGAGCAGGCAAGGAAGCACAGTCTTATAAACCTTAACACTATAAGTGAATCTCTTCCCCCCCTCTCCTCCTGGCAATTCACAAAACAGAAAGCCAGGGGATACTTGCTATGTGGATGGTAAGAAGCAGAGGGAAGAGGTGATATGCCCATAAAGCTGGGGTCTAGCTCTTACAGCTAGAGTGGCCAGGAAGTGCAGCAGGACAGAGCCTGACTCCCATCCATGTAAACAAGATATTTTTGGGGGATGAAGAAAGTGTACATTATGGCAGGTGGCTTTAGAGGAAAAGGAGTCTTCCACTAATTTAATTCCTGTAGGTTTATTGTGGCCAAAGTTAGGTTTTAGGCTTTGCTCAATTGTCAAACAGATTTGTGTTGCAATCCTACATCTATGTGTATGACGGATTCATGGATTAAAGTCATTGTGTGTGCGCAACAAAAGGTGTCTGTCACCTTTTATTTAATTGAGGAACAAGGTCAAAATCAAATATGAAAACCTTGGCAGGGGAATTCATATGGGTGTCATGTGCAGTAGTTATTGTTCCACTGCAGCTTCAAACTTCATATCTGCAGCAGAACGCTAAAGATCAAGTTCACTGCACTCTGTGTCCAATGCGTCTCCTGAACAGTCACAACTGCTGTGCTCCAATCTGCAATGCTCACACTCCATGCTGATTGGAGTACAATGGTTATGACAGTGAAGGAGACATTTCAGTCCACTGGAGGGCACAGCTGTCCTGATCTCATAAGGGGAGGCTGGGGCTTCAGTGAAGCACTGATAATGAAAAAACAGTAAAACCTTTTCAAAGGTAATGTTTCTTGTTCCCTGGCTTTGACTCACCTACACAACAGGAGGGTACAATTGTTTACTACTATATCACATTCACTTTGATCATCCAAGGGTCAATAAATCCTGTAATATTTTCAAACATAGCAATACATGCTCCTTTTTACCATGTAAACTGCAGGCTCCTGCAGTTTATCACCAGGCACCTCCATCCAGGTCATCTCAGTGGCTCCAGGGTCTGTAGGGGAACATGGTGTTAGGAGGTCATCCACCATGACTTCAGGGCTAGTACGAGATGTACCACGCACCTAACACAGAGAAGAATAACCTACTTAGAACATCTTTCACAATAATGGTTTTCAATGTTCAGGCTTTTCATACACACTGTACCTTTCTAAAATGTGTGGCTGATTGTACTTTACGCACGGTCTGCATCTGCCCATTGCGCACAATCATTATGATGTCTGCTCCTGAGTAACCCTCTGTTTTGTTGGCCAGCTCCAGGATGTTGTCATTGTTCAGACCGTGGGGGTTGTTACCCAAGTGCAGGCTAAACATCTGAGCTCGGGCAGTCTCATCTGGTAGCGGGATGTAAATACGCTTCTGGAACCTGACATTCAGGAAGGTAAAAAATAGGATAGTGGATTATTACTGAACTGATAGAGGAGATAAGACAGCCTTTCAACCTGACACTAGGCCAACACGTTCATGAAAGGTGCACCTGTTGATTTGTTCTGCACCAGCAAAGCAAAGGTTCACTTTAAGGTAAGGGATATTAGCTCATATTGTCAGATTCCTACTTATTTTTGTGTATTGCCCCCCTCCCAATCTCCCCCCCCCCCATGTTTTTAAAATATATAGACTTAAAATAAAAGAAGAAATAATGCCCATAACTACTATTGTCCCATGCTGCACTGTAGGTATGAAAGAGAGAAGCTATTTGTAGCTAATATTAAGCAGAAGACAGCTGGGGGAGGGATAGTGCCTGCAAAAGGAGGTTCTAATCTCACCTTCTGCAGATTGCAGAGTCCAGCATCCATGGTCTGCTTGTAGCTCCCAGAAGCAGGACCCCATTGTTGTCATTGCTATGTTCTGATAAACAAATAACAGAGCCAAGAGTTTCATTTTTAACAGCAGGAAGGGGACTTGGTAGCGACCTGGCTGTATTGCTTAAATGCAGCAGAGAAAAGTCCAGGTCACCAGCCTGTCTGTCTAGTCAGTCTTAAGATTTACCCAACCTTGTTATATAGACAGAAGAAGAAACCTTTTGACACGTAAAACCTAAAATAATGGAGGACCTTCATACCCTGCATCTGCACCAGGAGCTCGGTCTTGATTCTGCAGACAGCTTCGTCACTAGATCCATTCCCAGAGTCCCACAGCATGTCAACCTCATCGATGAAAATGATGGATGGTTTATGTTGCCGTGCTAATTCAAACAGGTCCTTCAGCAGCCTGTAATGAATGTGATGATTACACAAGGTGTCCACATCAAACATCAAGAGATCAGTTTTCTTTAGTGGTTAATGAAACTTGAACCATGAAACAACTCCATCACTAGACTAAAACACCAACGATTGCATATCAAAGAATTCATTCTTTCATCTCATTAAGAGCTAAGCTTGCAGAAGAATCTTCACCACTTGGCTTTTCCGGCAGTGTTAGGTGCCTAGTCCTCCTCTAGGGTCTGTTCTTTTATCTATCAGCCCCAACATTATTACAAGACGCAGTAATGACATAGAATCCAGACGAAAACCCAGTACACAGCCAGGACATGGCATCTGACACACCAGGAAGTGTGCCAAATGCTGACGATTCTTCAGCAAGCTTGGCTCATCAAGAGAGAAGACAGGGTGGGGACAGGGAAGTATTAATTCTTTTTTTTTTTTTTTTAGCAGTGTGTCCTTTTTTTCCCCATTTTATAATCTGTTATATAGTTGCTTTAATTGAAAGTACTGTGGATGATGATTGTAATGTGGTAATTCCCTTATTTCAGTGGCATCCTTTGAAAAAAGAGAGCTGTGAAAACCTAGCTGTTAGTGCTACCCTCCCAGTAGCTGAACACTTCTGCTCCCTGCATATTGTTTGAAGTGAAACAATCAGGCCCACGGACTGCATTGATTCAACACTTAACTTTTAACAATTCCTAAAGTTTCTCTTTTAATGGTCTGTCTGCCTAAAAATGATTTCTCTAAATGTTTAACTCATCAGCCTTCTTCATGTCACTAGGAAATGAATGGCTTTCATATGGGCATTACCTCTGTGCTAAGAAGTGGATTATCAGTTTTTTTTAATTAGCTTTTATTTACGCATTGTTTTCTTTAATAAACATGCAAATAGACAAACACAACTCTTGCTTCTCGCCATCGGGTCCCTTTGAGGTCCCCAACACACACACACACCATTTCAGAAAGTATAGGACAAGTGAGAAGAAGAGTCTTTCAATGATTAAAATTACAGTTGATCGAATTAAATCAATTCCTAAAATATATTATAAAAGTTACCCTTTCTTCAACACTGGTTTTTCCATTACAACGACTAGAGGGAAGGCCCCCATCCCTGTTACTCTTGCAAGATAATAAGCTAGATACCTCCTATTAAATACTTTATAGGAGTCCTCATTTCTTAGTTTTATTTTGAAGGTATTGGTTCCTTCTATATGCTGTTTTGTAGCAATTAGGGTCTCTCAGGAAGTGTGATGTGATCGCAAGATGACCCCATCTTATCCTAGCAGCCCTCCAGATACCAAACGTGGAAAATGGAGCCAGTCAACCCAAATTCTCTCAAACTTGGACAATGTGCCCTTGTACAACTAGGAACTTTACTTAAAGGGTGATTTAGAGTAATATACAATTCACACCGCAAACAGCTATATGATTGAGAGTCACAGCACATTATGGCCACTAGATGGAGCCAAAGAGCATAGGAATTTCCACTAATGTGCTGCAAATCTCATTCATATAGCTGCTCCTTGTGCAAACAGTTTATGAATCACCCCTTAGTGTCTATAGGAGGTAGACACCATAGAACCTTTTTAGTTTAGTCAGTTGACCTCACTCCTCCTAAGGATCTTCTCTCCAGAGACCCATGCATAATTCGATAAATTTGCTGTGCTCCCACTATAAAACTAACAATCTCCAGGTCCACATTGCTGCCCTCCAGCCTCAGTCTCCATTTTCCCAATGTTGGCTGCCCTATTCCCTTACTCTCTGGGCACTGTTATTACCGATGGATTCTCTGAGTTCCCATATTCCCAGTGTGGTTTGTAGTTGCTATGTTGGCCTGTTCTTTTGGGGGGGGGGGGGTTTGCCATCCCTCTCTGTCTATCCTCCGCTGTTGCTGCTTTTCCAGAAACATAATATTCACTTCCCAGCACAGGGGTGAAGTACAAAGGTGAGCATGTAACCCTCTCCAATGTGAGGGCACTGATGGGTTGACCGACCACTAGCTGCTTTTTTCATTACGAAAGTCCTGTTGTGAGATCTCCCCACAAAGTTTCTACCAAAATAGTCACACTCTTCTAGCTGAACTTTCCATGATGTAAATTTAAAAAAAAAGAGTGAGACCTAGTTCTATAATTGAAGAGAGATATATGAAATCATAGGTAAGTCTAATTTTGGGGATTTTTTCTTTAATGTATTAGGGAAGGGATAGATGCCTTATCAGGTTTTTATTGCTGCCTGTGTCTCTATGGAGTAAGTTTGGGTGTCACCCAGACACGAATTGGGAGGAAATCTCCCTTAAAGATTCACACAGACATGAAAGCACATTTATTTGGTGCAGTTGCGAGTAGTTAGAATCTCTGCTACATTTTTATGGCTGGTACCCCTGCAAGGAATATTTTATTTTACATCTTGTATTGGTTATAGGTGTCACAGGAAATTGCGTGGATGGGCAGGTAGTTCTAGTCCATCTCCACTCTTTTTAAAACTAAAAAAAAAATGACTAATACTAAAAAAAAGGCCACCCACCCACTTACTTATCATTTTCTCCCAGCCACTTAGACATAAGATCAGATGAGGACACAGAGAAGAAGGCAGAGTTACTGGCTTGGGTGGCAACAGCTTTAGCCAGGTAGGTCTTTCCAATTCCTGGAGCTCCAAATAACAAGATAGTACTCCAGGGAGTATTCTTTCCTGAAAAGAAGAAAATGGCAACATTGTGAACAGAAGAATAAACAAAGAAAGCAAGATGGAGGACACACGTCAGTTATTATGCCAAAGTTTCTTCATGTCCAAAAATCGTATACTGTACATTTTTGGTCCATATGGATAACAATCATTTTCTCTTGGAAATAACTTTCCATGTACTGTATGTGCAGCATCTTTACCTCATTGGCATGTCATTGCTGTGGAACCACTTAAGCTGGCCATACATTGCTTAGAGTTTTGAAAGAACTTTCATACAAAGGAACTTTCTTTCGACTTTCAATGATCGATTTCGAATATAGTGACGAAAAAAACAGAAGCAGCAGAATGGAACATTTTTCTCGAACAAATTAAATTCTAACTGTGAATGTGGTTTTCGCTCAGAAAACTCCATTCATTCCAAAATCAAATGCTAAAATAAAACAATTTTATTTCGACATTCTGATGACATTGTCTGATGACATTATCAGGTGGTAAAGAATGATCTTTCCTTCGTAAATCTACTAGTGTGTAAGAAAAACAAACAATAATAGTAACAATATGAGTATTAATAAATAAAATCTGTATTATTTATCAACACCCACTTTTTACTGTTCGAGAGGGGTAGGTAAGCTAAGAAATACACACCATAAACTGCAGGTTTAAAAGAGTATATTGTACCAGGAATTCACATGCACAACCCGATTATTGGCAAAGAAAGGTTACAATAATAACAACACAAAACAACAAATCACATATCCAAGATTGTTGTCACAGGAATACTAGCACAGCAATAGCAAACCAACAATATTAAAATAACAATACTAAACCAGAGAAGACACCAACCCAACACCTCTACAACACATAAAATACCATAAACTCCTGGTTCTGGACTGTGGTTCCTCTGATGGCCTCCCCAAAATGGCTTCCCCCACAATGCTTCCCCTCAGATGGCCTTCCAATGGCTCTGGCCTCAGCTACACTCGTTCACCATCATTAGAAACCCAGGATTGGTCCACAAAACCTAACCAGAGCTATCTCATGATAGTGATTGGGTGGCAGCTGAGGTCTCTTTGATCTAATAACACCTGGGTTGGCTATAACCTGGTTGGTTCCATCCTGTCTGAGAAGACTATATATGTATATTAGCTTGAGTGTAATCTTCCTGAGTTCACAGACACTCTCAAAACACCACCAGTTGTAAAACCAGTTGTCCATTTTAGCATATCAAGGTGACCATTGATCTCAAGGAGGCAATACCTAACATATCTGCTCTCACAGACCAATAGGGGAGATCTGCTTGGCAGATTATCATGCTAACAAACTATTCCTTTTATTTATACTAGTTTCAGAGAAGCCTAATTTACAATTCTAGTCACATCTGGGTGCATACATGTATACTTTTGGCTAATCATATTTCTTCCAATTTACCAATTTTATATTATTATTATTAAATAGATACATTTATTTGTATCTGGGCCTTGGAATATCTTACAAGTGTATGGCCAGCTTTAGTTTCTTTGAGGTCTTAAAAGCCAGAAAACAACATTTTGTGTTTGCACATCTGTACTCCCGAATTTGCACAATATTCAACACGACATAGAAACATATAATAAAACCGCCCACAAATGTAGCTGTGGTGTGTATTTTAGTGTCTCTTTTTGCGTTGTGGTGACTGAACCTTTACTTAATGCAGTAGCCCAGACCTCTTCTATGTTGGTTGAGTGGTTTACTATTTTTTTTTATCAGGTTGTCAGCATGTAAAATGAACAAGCAAATAACCATCACAGTTCCCCTTTTGCAATCTCACATTCAATCTGTAAATTTTCTGTGATCGAAAATCTAACAAGACAGAGTCGTTTAGCATCTCCAGCAGATTGGATGGCCAATAAGGTTAAACCACCAATACTGTGGGGGAATAACCACAACTGGCCACAAGCCACAGGAAAATATTTTACCAATATCTGCATGCCCTGAACAGCCTGAGGTGGTTGCCTCAAATGGCATTTCAGTGGGTCATGTGGTACAACTGCCGCTGCCCTCTTTCTGGCTAGAGCCTCCCAGGTCGCTAAGAGCTCCTGTGACGCTCTGGCTGGCATCCCGCCCGGCTCACTGACATCACTGGTTGGCAGGAGCAGAGTGGGATGCCAGCCAGCTCCTGCCAACCAGTTCCTGGCAAACAGTGACGCCAATCCCTCATTAACGAGCACTGACGAAAACCACAACTTGCACCGCCCCCCGCGCGATCAGGGGGCACAAAGTGCAGGGACACCCCCGATTGGATGTTTACTTTGTAAAGGAACAGCCAACTGACCCCCTCCCCAGCAGCACATTTCCTAATCCCCCCCTCTCTGTTTAGGTACTAGAAAAAAGCAAGCCCTATGTAAGCTCCAAATCACTTTAGTTAGAACATACACAGGGCTGAGTACTGTAGTCCCTCCCTCATGAGACAGCAGTAGATCAATCATTGAGCATCAGAAAGGACTATCCAATAAAAAAGAAGAACAAGTCACATGATCCCCCCCATACTTGGAAGTACTAGGTATTAATTACCAAGCATTTGAACACAGCAGTGAGCAAACTTGTTGTTTAGTCCCAAATGATCAAAGCAGAAGTTTGCTTCAAATCTATTTTCAATATTAGACAATATTAGACATCCTTTTCTACTCTTAAATCTTAAAAAATACATTTGTAAGCTACTGTCTACTTGATATTCTATTTCATGCAAGCATGGCAACTGTATTTAGTTTGTATAAATACATTTATAGAACCCCGATGTTCCAGCTTTTGTTATGCTGTCTAAAGGAGTACCAGGCTTGCAATTGTAGTAATAGCTTTGCATCAAAGTGCTATTATGGAAGTACTAACCCAAGAAATTAGTTGGTAATATCACAGCCTCTTTCAAAGCTTGCTTTGCTTCTTCCAGCCCAGCCACATCGTTCCAGCAGACATTGGACTTCTCCATGATGATGTAATCTGCTGCAGCATGGGGAAAATATATGGAAACAAAGAGATAAAAGGACAGGACAGCTACATGAGATGATTGCCTTCTCCTCTGTAGGAAACCCACTCAGACACTTTAAAAAACTGACACTTTAAAAACCCCTTCCACCCCTTAGCTCTTAGTGTGTGTAAAGTAGACTACTACCAAGAAGAACCCAAGGGGAAAACAGTGAAAGAGAGAGAGCAACTACCCATAGAAATAATAAAAACACCAGAATACCTGGGTGGGAACTAGGTAGTTGTCCTGGAAGATTCTTAAAAATACCATTACCGGTAAGTCTAGGACTTACTTTCATCTTCCAGGACAACTATATGAGAGGGAAAAGCAAGTATACTATACCTCAAGATGAGACCAGTGCTTGCAAGACCCTCCTTCCAAACATCAGGTCCTGCTGAGCCAGCATTTCACTCTACGGTGCCTCAAGAAGGTATTCTGACTTGACCAAACCACTGCCTTGCAGATTTGTTTCATCGTAGTACATGCTTTCTCTGCCCTGGAAGCAGAAATTGCCCTTGTGGAATGAGCCTTAAATTTGTGTGGCGGTTCATGTCCTTCTTAAAATATAAAGTAAATAGTCTCCCAGATCCACCTGGTCGCAGAGGTTTTTGATGCCTGAAGACCACTAAAAGTCACAAATAAATGGCTAGATCTCCTAAAGGATCTAGTCCCATCCAAATACTGAAGTAAACATCTTTTTACATCAAGCAAATGAAATCGAGAGATTTCCAAGATTGGTGAACCAAGTTGTTCTGGGCCATCCGGGTTCTGTGAGGATAAGAGTTTCCCTGAACAGATTTAGTTTCTGTATGACTGCTGGAATTAGAGATAATGGAGGGTACGCATAAACCTGGTCAAAAGGCCAAGGATGAGAAAGAGCATCCATGCCCAAGGTTCTTACCATTGTGCTAAAGTTTTATGAACTGAGCCTCATATTATGGTGACAGGTTCACTGTAGGAGCAAGAGTGTTTAACTGAAATAATAGGGCTGTTAAGATACCTGCTCATCCTGTTTTATCAAAAGAATAACTCTTATTTTTTCCGATCTTACCAAAATCATTCCCTTGCTTCATAGCATGGTCTCAGTCTCCTTGATGTAAGCAGTTAATTTCAACACCTCTCCATCCAACTTTCTCTGTTAGGAAAGGCAGTCCCCTTCTGTCCAGTCTACATTCCCAAGCTGTCACCTCCACCTCTCCATCCTTCCACAACCAGCTCCTTTTATGCAGTCTTCTCATTGACCCTCCTTTTATCCCATTTCACTTACCCATCATCTGAGCCTGAAGTTCTTTCTGCTCTGGATTTTCACCTTTTTTCTCTGTCGCTATTATGGCTGTAATCACAGAAAATAAGATCATCAGAGACTGGCTTATAGCCTCAGTTTCTTTGTGTTTCTCCAATAAGAACTGTATGTTCATTATTATTAAAGTGTATCCACTGTATAGCCAAAAGTTGTTTTTTTTTGTTTTGGATAGATTAGTATATGGTTAAAATCTCCCTGTCTGAGATTTCACTTCCTGTCCTGGAAGCACAACTCGAAGTGGGGGCAATTATCTTATTTTTTACACTTTTTGACACTATCCAAAACTAAAAAATAAAAAGGCTTTAGCTCTAGATGAAGTTTAAACGAGCACAACGTTCCATAAGGACTAACCCTTGGCTTATTTAATCGTAGTACTTCTGAAATTGTTAGAGCTACCTCCAAGTCTTTTATCTTAAAGTAGAACTATGAGGTGAGTGCTTTTCACTCACCTCATAGTTCTAGCCGACCTGTGACAATGAGACTGTCACAGGTCAGCTCAGTAGATTGGGAAGTGAGCGAACACATACCGGCGTTCGCTGACCTCTCGATCCTGTCACGGCTCTCTGCCGTGACAGGGGAGGGGCTGGATTCCCCTTAAGCTGCCCTTAAGCTGCCCTTAAGCTGCCCATACACCTTACAACCATTGCATGAATTTCGTTGTCATTAAAATTTTGTACGATCTGCCCATCTTGGACAGGCAGATCGTACTTTCGATCATCGCAAGCCCTCCACACTGAGGGGAGGGCTTGCAATGATTGCAGTGCTGAACGCACAGTGTGTGCTTGCCCATACCGGCCCGTGCGGCATTAGTCTTCCGAGCACACCACCAACCCGCCGAAAATCGTACAATTTTAGGCAGGTTTTCCAGCGTGCTCGGAAGACGAAAGTCATGCAACCTTACAGTAGAAGCGGTCTCACGCTGCCAATACACCTGCCCATACACCTGCCCATTGTTGTACGATAACTGACATGTGTATGGGCACCTTTAGACAGATTAGTCTCAAATGAGATATTCACAGTTTCAGCATAATACCCAATCACTTGTGACACTGTTCTGTATAGTTTAATATTCAACTAGCTGCACTCACCTCATAGTTCTGTGACGCAATTCAGTGATCTCATCAATCTTCCAGCAGTCTCAGTAGTAACGCTCTCCTCTGCTCCAATACACAGCTGCTGTGTTCTGTGCTGTCAGACCTTCCACTCCACCTCCTATTGTTGCTTCCGGGTTTGTCAGATGTGTCCTTCGTCCCACACTTTTCCTACATCCACTCTTCTTTCATTCGCTAAGAATCTATAACACAAAGAATCCTCCTCGTTGTGCAAACACATGACAACTTTTCTTAAAATGACACTTGCAAAACACACTACGTCTTAAGGCTCATCATTCTTTTAACTACTTCAGTACCGGCATGTTACACCTTCTTCATCACCGGGCCATTTTCCAGTTTTCAGCCCTGTGCAAGTTTGGCTGAGAATTCCTCCGTCACTCAACACTGTAACAAAATTAATTTTATCTCAGCTTTCTTTCAGTGGTGTTTAATAACCACTTTTTAAATTTTTTTTTTAACTATATAAAGCAAAAGAGATCGAAAAATTTGAAAAAAAAAGGCTGTTTCTCTTACTTTCATTAATAGATCATAGCAAATAAAAATGTCAGGATAGCATGAAAATCTGCGAAATTATGCCTTTTTGGAAAGTAGACACTCCAAGGTGACTTGATATTGCGCCACAAGTTTTTGGAAATGAAGAAACATGTTGGTATTGAGGGGGTTAAAACATGGAGCTTGGTAATAGGGCACAAGATACAATAAAGGTACAGGTCATAGACAGAGGGAGGAGGGAGTGAGAATGGGTTAATGTATAGGTCACATACAGTGGGAGGATGGAGATGAAGGGCTTAATGTATAGATGTGCAGGAGATGAAGGGCTTAATGTATAGATGTGCAGGAGATGAAGGGGTTAATACACACATCAGAGTAGAGATAGAATGGAGCTAACATTTATAGGAGTGGAGTGGAGTGAAGTGAAGGTGAAAGGGTTAAAAATGTTATTTTCCTCTTTTTTTCTGCAGCTGTTTTTACTCTAGGAAGCAATGAATGGATTACTCTCCCCTGCTTCTGATGTAAGAGGAAAGAGAGGGCTCGGCAAATATTGCCCTGTGATTGCTGTGATAACCAATGTCTAAAGCCGCTGTTTTGCACTGTCTAATGACAGTGGGAGCAGCCGTGGCCACGCGCAGACACGCATATGTAGGTTCCGGGAGAACAGGTATGTCCTCCCGGAACAATGCGCCAGCAGACCGGCTGTTTTGATACAGTGGCCAGTCCGCAAGTGGTTAGAATTTCAGTCTCTTTCCTTGGTCATGTGTCCTTCTATTGCCCAAGTGTCACCGGCTCACACTACCACCATAGATCCCCGCACCTCCATATCTTACACCGAGACATACTAACTTTCTTAAAGTGACATTAAACGCTCAGATTTTTTAACATAAACCAATACTGTAATGTGTGCCTTACTGAAATCCATGGTAGTTTCCCTTCTCTTTGCTGCTCTTCCTTTTAAATCCTTATCTCTTCTCATGCTTGGGGAGAATGTCCCTTTGCAGCTCATGGCCTCTTCCTGTAGTGCTGGCTCAGGTTGTGATCCTGCACACAGACACCATGTATCCATTTCAGAGACAAGGCAGTCTGCTGCAAAACAGAAGTTCTGCCCAGCATGAGAACAGATACAGATTTAAAAGGAAGAGCAGCAAAGAGAAGGGAAACAACCATGGATTACAGTAAGGCACACATTACAGTATTGGTTTATGTTAAAAAAATCTGAGGGTTTAATGTCACTTTAAAAACAAAAGTACAAGAGAGCCACTACTATGCTACTATGCAGAAGATACAACTACTGAAGATAAAAATCCTACACTTTCAGGTTACACCCGAACAATAAAGTTGCGTGTCATGTGATCACACAACAATGCTACTGAATTAGATTCTCTATTAGGGGATCACCATGTTGCTTTACAATATTTCTGCCATTAGCCCGTTAAAGAAGAACTCCGAGCAAAATAAAAATGAACCCTAGCAGTGGGGCTATCTGTTGGAAATACAACAGCATATACTAATGTACTGATATGACTTTTGAATTGTAGATGGTGCTGTAGTGCAATGTTAGTTGCTATGTGCATGCTTATCTATGATAAGCCGGAAGTTTATTTTCCAGCGGTGGAACGTCCCTCACTGTTCTCACGTCTAATACACAATGTATTAGACGTGATGACTCATGGGTCCTCTCCTTATACCACCAGAGAGGAGGGGGGGAGGCTGCGGGGACCAGTCTAACAGCCAGATGGGAACGAGGATTGGGAGCATATATCGTTTTGACTTTAGACCCTAGACCAAAGGGAGCACTTAACCCGTGCAGCGCAGGGGTAGCACCACTGCAAGGGTTAATTTTTATCCTGCACGGAGTTTTTCCCCACTATGTATTTTGCAGCAGAGGGAGCACTATGTATTTTGCAGCAGAGGGCGCACTATGAATTTTGCAGCAGAGGGCGCACTATGAATTTTGCAGCAGAGGGCGCACTATGAATTTTGCAGCAGAGGGCGCACTATGAATTTTGCAGCAGAGGGCGCACTATGAATTTTGCAGCAGAGGGCGCACTATGAATTTTGCAGCAGAGGGCGCACTATGAATTTTGCAGCAGAGGGCGCACTATGAATTTTGCAGCAGAGGGCGCACTATGAATTTTGCAGCAGAGGGCGCACTATGAATTTTGCAGCAGAGGGCGCACTATGAATTTTGCAGCAGAGGGCGCACTATGAATTTTGCAGCAGAGGGCGCACTATGAATTTTGCAGCAGAGGGCGCACTATGAATTTTGCAGCAGAGGGCGCACTATGAATTTTGCAGCAGAGGGCGCACTATGAATTTTGCAGCAGAGGGCGCACTATGAATTTTGCAGCAGAGGGCGCACTATGAATTTTGCAGCAGAGGGCGCACTATGAATTTTGCAGCAGAGGGCGCACTATGAATTTTGCAGCAGAGGGCGCACTATGAATTTTGCAGCAGAGGGCGCACTATGAATTTTGCAGCAGAGGGCGCACTATGAATTTTGCAGCAGAGGGCGCACTATGAATTTTGCAGCAGAGGGCGCACTATGAATTTTGCAGCAGAGGGCGCACTATGAATTTTGCAGCAGAGGGCGCACTATGAATTTTGCAGCAGAGGGCGCACTATGAATTTTGCAGCAGAGGGCGCACTATGAATTTTGCAGCAGAGGGCGCACTATGAATTTTGCAGCAGAGGGCGCACTATGAATTTTGCAGCAGAGGGCGCACTATGAATTTTGCAGCAGAGGGCGCACTATGAATTTTGCAGCAGAGGGCGCACTATGAATTTTGCAGCAGAGGGCGCACTATGAATTTTGCAGCAGAGGGCGCACTATGAATTTTGCAGCAGAGGGCGCACTATGAATTTTGCAGCAGAGGGCGCACTATGAATTTTGCAGCAGAGGGCGCACTATGAATTTTGCAGCAGAGGGCGCACTATGAATTTTGCAGCAGAGGGCGCACTATGAATTTTGCAGCAGAGGGCGCACTATGAATTTTGCAGCAGAGGGCGCACTATGAATTTTGCAGCAGAGGGCGCACTATGAATTTTGCAGCAGAGGGCGCACTATGAATTTTGCAGCAGAGGGCGCACTATGAATTTTGCAGCAGAGGGCGCACTATGAATTTTGCAGCAGAGGGCGCACTATGAATTTTGCAGCAGAGGGCGCACTATGAATTTTGCAGCAGAGGGCGCACTATGAATTTTGCAGCAGAGGGCGCACTATGAATTTTGCAGCAGAGGGCGCACTATGAATTTTGCAGCAGAGGGCGCACTATGAATTTTGCAGCAGAGGGCGCACTATGAATTTTGCAGCAGAGGGCGCACTATGAATTTTGCAGCAGAGGGCGCACTATGAATTTTGCAGCAGAGGGCGCACTATGAATTTTGCAGCAGAGGGCGCACTATGAATTTTGCAGCAGAGGGCGCACTATGAATTTTGCAGCAGAGGGCGCACTATGAATTTTGCAGCAGAGGGCGCACTATGAATTTTGCAGCAGAGGGCGCACTATGAATTTTGCAGCAGAGGGCGCACTATGAATTTTGCAGCAGAGGGCGCACTATGAATTTTGCAGCAGAGGGCGCACTATGAATTTTGCAGCAGAGGGCGCACTATGAATTTTGCAGCAGAGGGCGCACTATGAATTTTGCAGCAGAGGGCGCACTATGAATTTTGCAGCAGAGGGCGCACTATGAATTTTGCAGCAGAGGGCGCACTATGAATTTTGCAGCAGAGGGCGCACTATGAATTTTGCAGCAGAGGGCGCACTATGAATTTTGCAGCAGAGGGCGCACTATGAATTTTGCAGCAGAGGGCGCACTATGAATTTTGCAGCAGAGGGCGCACTATGAATTTTGCAGCAGAGGGCGCACTATGAATTTTGCAGCAGAGGGCGCACTATGAATTTTGCAGCAGAGGGCGCACTATGAATTTTGCAGCAGAGGGCGCACTATGAATTTTGCAGCAGAGGGCGCACTATGAATTTTGCAGCAGAGGGCGCACTATGAATTTTGCAGCAGAGGGCGCACTATGAATTTTGCAGCAGAGGGCGCACTATGAATTTTGCAGCAGAGGGCGCACTATGAATTTTGCAGCAGAGGGCGCACTATGAATTTTGCAGCAGAGGGCGCACTATGAATTTTGCAGCAGAGGGCGCACTATGAATTTTGCAGCAGAGGGCGCACTATGAATTTTGCAGCAGAGGGCGCACTATGAATTTTGCAGCAGAGGGCGCACTATGAATTTTGCAGCAGAGGGCGCACTATGAATTTTGCAGCAGAGGGCGCACTATGAATTTTGCAGCAGAGGGCGCACTATGAATTTTGCAGCAGAGGGCGCACTATGAATTTTGCAGCAGAGGGCGCACTATGAATTTTGCAGCAGAGGGCGCACTATGAATTTTGCAGCAGAGGGCGCACTATGAATTTTGCAGCAGAGGGCGCACTATGAATTTTGCAGCAGAGGGCGCACTATGAATTTTGCAGCAGAGGGCGCACTATGAATTTTGCAGCAGAGGGCGCACTATGAATTTTGCAGCAGAGGGCGCACTATGAATTTTGCAGCAGAGGGCGCACTATGAATTTTGCAGCAGAGGGCGCACTATGAATTTTGCAGCAGAGGGCGCACTATGAATTTTGCAGCAGAGGGCGCACTATGAATTTTGCAGCAGAGGGCGCACTATGAATTTTGCAGCAGAGGGCGCACTATGAATTTTGCAGCAGAGGGCGCACTATGAATTTTGCAGCAGAGGGCGCACTATGAATTTTGCAGCAGAGGGCGCACTATGAATTTTGCAGCAGAGGGCGCACTATGAATTTTGCAGCAGAGGGCGCACTATGAATTTTGCAGCAGAGGGCGCACTATGAATTTTGCAGCAGAGGGCGCACTATGAATTTTGCAGCAGAGGGCGCACTATGAATTTTGCAGCAGAGGGCGCACTATGAATTTTGCAGCAGAGGGCGCACTATGAATTTTGCAGCAGAGGGCGCACTATGTATTTTATAGCAGAGGGCACACTATGTATTTTATAGCAGAGGGCACACTATGCATTTTGCAGCAGGGGGCGCACTATACATTTTGCAGCAGGGGACACACTACATATTTTGCAGCAGATGAATGAAAATGACTCAAAATTTCCAATAAAAAAATTTCGGACGGAATTCGTTAGAGGTAGTCTGTACGAATTTTCCTCTGAAACGAACATTCGTACAGACTACCTCTAACGAATTTTGTCCAAATCCGAATCCCGAAAGTAATTGACTTTCAGACCCGATGACCCGAAAAACTAAATAATGGAGAATCTGAATGAAAACGAAACAAACTTTCTGCCGGTGCACATATCTATCAGAGGGCGCACTATGTATTTTGCAGCAGAGGGCACACTATGTATTTTGCAGCAGAGGGTGCACTATGTTTTTTGCAGTAGAGGGCGCACTATGTATTTTGCAGCAGAGGGCGCACTATGTATTTTGCAGCAGAGGGCGCAATATGTGTTTTGCAGCAGAGGGCGCAATATGTGTTTTGCAGCAGAGGGTGCATTGTGTATTTTGCAGCAGAAGGCGCACTTTGAGAGACATTAATCAAAACTGGAGCAGACAACAACTGGAGCAGCTGTGCATGGCAACCAAGCAGCTTCTCTCTTTCATTTTTAAATCTTAACTGAACAAACTGAAGAGAGAAGCTGATTGGTTGCCATGCAAAACTTCTCCAGTTTTTGTCTGCTCCAGCTTTGATAAATTGCCCTCTATGTTTTTTGCAGCAAATGGTGCACTGTGTATTTTGCAGTAGAGGGCGCACTATGCAAACTATTTCAAAATTCTGGAAAACAATAAGGCAAATATTTACATACCGGTAGTTACACATCACCTAACCAGATACCTACAATATAAAACACATTGCTTTGCCATAAACAAAGTGAGTGCTAAAAGCAGAGAGCAGTGAGCCCTGAACAGGCACTTTTGACATGCTTCAGTTCTAAGAAAATTAACATGAGGGAGGTTACAAAACCCACCTGCCCCTTGTTACCTCTGTGATCTCTGTAGCCTTTGTGCAATACAAATTCTCTGCTCTGGGTTGTGTAAGTTTAACATAGATTGGTTTTCTAGTGGGAAGCACTTTGCAAGCTTGCACTTATTGAAATGCCCTGCAAATTTAAGCTTTTGTTGGAAAATGCAGAGCAAATGGTCCTTGTCTGCCGGAATGAGGAACAATTCCTGCTCCAGGAAGGAATGCAGCATTTGGCAGTACTGGAGAAAGCCAGCCTGGTGATTGGCAAGTAAGTCAGAGCGTTTTTTTACTTTCTGAAATCAGACATATAAAAAAAGCACTATGTAGACTATAGAATAGTCTAAAGCACAAGCACTTGTATATACCACGTTTATCATTACACTTTGTAATATACTGTGCTGCTGCTTTAGTTTTCAGGAAGCACTAAGTTACTTTAGCTCTGGTTGGTACATTGGGATTCTTTTAGAATGTCAAATATCTATTTCTGGCAAAGCTTTCAACAAAAGTAAGCTTTGAACCACAATTTCAGTCTCTATTTTAGCCTCGGTAAACCCCAAATCCAGACATCATGCATAGTCTGTTAGATGCATCAAACAGTCGAGAAAAATATGACATTGGTCTCTAATATATTACGCACTTGCATTTTATGAATTTAAACCTTCATATTAAAGACTGGCTAAGGGTGTTTTATATTACTGCAGAACTCCTTTTACCCGTGGGGGGCAGAATTTATGAATGAAACTAAGATCTCATAGGAAATTTGTCTGAAATTTAGTTTTTACTCCTTCTGCCCTGTGCACTCTGGCCCATAAATACCCCATACAGTTTAATTGACTTTTTTTTATTTTTCTATGTATTTTTAGCTATTAACCCCCATAGGTCTATACATTTTTATTGCATACCACTACATAATGACTCATTATGCAACAATCTGTCAATGTTTTTTGTAGTGATGGATTCATAAAGGCTGTAGGACCCACAGAGTCTATACGGAATCAGTTTTCTCAAGCAGAATTTGAGAGAGTAATTGACTGCTCTGGAAAATGTGTTTTGCCAGGTAAGTGGTTACAAGCCACATTTCCCCCCTAACTGTACCCACAAACACAAATCATATGATTTTATGGCAAAAGTTTTATTAAATAATTTCAAACATTTAAATCACAATGAAGTGCTACCACAGATTGTGGCACCTGCCGCACCACCCTTAATAACTGACAACTCTCATCGCTTTCCGACTCTCCCATATGCACTCAGCATCAGAGTCCCTATAATATGTTGCTGGCCTGCTTGGGCTCCATCCTGAAGTTTAATTCCATCTGGCCTCAGCTATCCATACTGTAGGAGGGCAAGACATGCTCCCTTCTATAGAACATCTACCGTGTTAGCCATGTACCGTCTCAGCCTCCCTTTTTTTTCTTCCCTTGGTATTAGAACTGCTTGAGAGGCTACCAAATCCACCTTGCGAGGTGCTCCTATTCACCAAAGGGCTCTCACAACACAATAAATCGGACTGAGAAGCAGACCAAGATTAGGGGGGGTGGAAACCTCTTCCTCCTGGATGAAAGGAAGGCTGTCCCTGCTGCCCTTACCTTTACACCCGTGTACCTGCTCCTTCTCCTCCCTTACTCCTCCCTTACTCGTCCCTTCCAATTGTGAATCGGCCTTTTCTTGTAGTATTTGCATGGAAAGGCAATAATAATGCTTTATAAATTGACCCTATAGTTTACGTTTTAAGAATTGCCAACTACATTTGTAATATACACATGAAAATCATGTTTTGATTACATCTTGATTTTCAGGATTCGTGGATGCACACACTCATCCTGTGTGGGCTGGTGATAGAGTGCATGAATTTGCAATGAAAGTAAGTTATACCCACTTCTATATACTCCTATATGTTCACTCTATACATCAAGATATGCATTCAAAAAGATGCTGGGTTTTGCTCAATACTGGCTTGATAGCTTTGCACTGTTCCTGAAATGTTGTTGGCCAAAGGTTCAGCCTACAAAGATTTGGATTCAGCTCATCCCAAGGATTCATGGCACATACACCACATTTTGATAATACTATCTGCACATTGTAGTGGTTAAAGGCATTCATCAGACCAGGGAAACTATTTGTCTGTCTTCACTCATCCAATTTTAGTGATCCTCTGACTACTGTAGCCTCTTTTTCTGATCTTAGCTGACAGGAGTGTACCCAGAATGGTCTATTACTGCATTATCCAATTTTTTTCCAAGATATATTGTAACTGTTTCTACTATACACTTTATACAATCGTTTTCCTACAAAAACCATTTAATATATGTCTCGGGATTCCCTAGACACTATGGATTAGCAAATGAATAATCAGAGTCCTCCCCTTTTAGGCTCTCTAGCTCTAATTGAAATCATGGGGGAAGGAAGGGGGATAGAGGGTGATGAGTTGCTGTTCTGACTCACTTGTATGCAAATAACAGTGTATGCTACTGAGCTCAGTGTATGGAGCTTTTTTTTTTTCCAATAGAAAACCAGAGACCCTATATACAGTTAAATATACTATTCTTATACAATGCCTGAACTCCTAAAGAATGCCATGGACACACTTTAGAATTCTGCTGTAACACTGCACAACGAATATTGGTACTTGTGACAGATTCATGTACCTGTTAGAAACAAGTACATGAGTTTGTCTCACGTAGGCCAGCAATGAGACCTCCGTGCCTATAGTGGACAAGCCATACTCCATGCAGTTTAATGACATTGACCCTGATAAAATCAAAAAACTCAGCATTACTGAGCTCCCTGCCCAGCCACTGCACATGTCACAAAGGCTGGCTCAGTGGCTGGGAAGTTTTGATGTTAGGTGGAGCCTTATGGTCTGTCTTCCTTGTGATTGGCAGTGGGCTGATTACACAGCCACTAGACGTCGTGCTATGCAATTTGCCCACTGTCGTTCACGGTCGATGGCAAGGTAAATTAAGTTAATAAGAAAGTAGTCTCTCAGAGTTCCATATCAAGTCCACCTTCCTTGAGATTGACGGCAGTGGATATATTCCATGGCTGCTAGACAGCATGACGTTTGCTGTAAGTGGATTTCAGCCACTAACTGGGAGTAATATTTACCCTATCTGGGTATAAAATGCTTCCAGCAATGTCATTTCCTGCTCATCTGATTGGCTCACTGCTTTTCCCAGGAATTTTTGTTGACAATACTGAGATGTATTCTGTGACTATATCAGGCAGACCCTTCCACCTGGCATCTAAGAAGGAGGAAGTGATTGGAATTTGCATGTGAGTTTTAGCCTAACGGCAGGAGGTAAGTTCTATGAAGTTTGCCAACATCCTTGCAATATGTTGCAAGGAATGCAGAGGGTTTTTTTCTGAACAAAACTGACATTTCTCCTTAACTAAATACATAACTGTGATAACGCCTATTAGGTTCCATCTATATTTGTTCACTTTCTTTTAGCTTGCAGGTGCTACGTACATGGACATTCATCAGGCTGGAGGAGGAATCCATTTTACAGTGGATCATACAGGAGCTGCTTCAGAGGAAGACCTATACTTTAGTTTTAAACAGCGCCTACAACGAATGCTCAGGACAGGAACTACATTAGTAGAGTGTAAGAGTGGATATGGCTTGAAACTGGAGACAGAACTGAAGATGCTAAGAGTGATTGAGCGTGCTCACAGGGAAATGGATATTGGCATCTCCTGTACATACTGTGGTGCCCATTCAGTGCCAAAGTAAGATATCTTCTATTTGTGTTGGAAGGATTTGACAGCTAACATTTCCATTATGCACAGGACTGAGAATGGAAAGGATTAAGTGAAATTGTGTTAAGCTTTTACTATAAATATCTTTTCAGTAAGTCACTTCATTTTTAAATGGAAGTCTCTTTAAGCGCAATTCCTATAGTGTAAAACAAAATTGCCTGACCCTCCACTGGCTCTATATAATATTTAGATACCTCCCACCCTCCCATCTCCTAAGCCTCACTCTCTGGCCCTGCACCTTCTCACCTCCAAAGCCTTGTTGTTTGGCTCTGCACCTTCTCACTTCCTAAGCCTCGCTGTCTGGCCCTGCATTCTCCCACCTCCTAAGCCTCGCTGTCTGGCCCTGCATTCTCCCACCTCCTAAGCCTCGCTGTCTGGCCCTGCATTCTCCCACCTCCTAAGCCTCGCTGTCTGGCCCTGCATTCTCCCACCTCCTAAGCCTCACTGTCTGGCCCTGCATTCTCCCAGCTCCTAAGCCACGCTGTCTGGTCCTGCATTCTCCCACCTCCTAAGCCTCGCTGTCTGGCCCTGCATTCTCCCACCTCCTAAGCCTCGCTGTCTGGCCCTTCGCCTTCCCACGTGCTAAGCCTTGCTTTCTGGCCCTGCACCCACCTCCTAAGCCTCACTATTGGTCTATCATTGTAGTGGGAATCCTCAGTGGCATATTACATAGTTACATAGTATTTGAGGTTGAATAAAGACATTAGTCCATCAAGTCCAACCTATTAGGATCTCATTCTAGGAGTACCTGTACCCCTGTATATTACCTGTACCCCTGTATATTACGGTCCCTTAAGAAATCGTCCAAAAGTTTCTTGAACAATGCCACATTATTTGCTGAAATCACCGCCTGTGTACAGTGAGTTCCAGACCCTAACTGATCTTACTTACTGTGAAGAACCCCCTTCGCCCCTTGTGCTGGAATTTTTTTCCACCAATTTTAGGTGATGGCCTCTAGTTTTTGTAACGGAGTTAATTTTAAACAGTTTATCGCTAATGTTGCTACCACCATTAAACATTTTGTACATGGAAATCATATCCCCCCTTAATCTCCTCACCTCCAATGTGAACATGTTTAAATTTAGTAGCCTTGTCTCGTAGCTCTGGTCCTCCATACCCCTAATTAGTTTGGTTGCCCTCCGCTGGACTTTTTCCAACTCAAGGACATCTTTTCTTAGTACTGGTGACCAGAACTGGACCGCGTACTCCAGATGAGGTCGAACCAATGATCTATAAAGTGGCAAAATTATAGACTTGTCCCTGCAATACATCCCCTTTTTAATACAGGACAAAACCCTGCTAGCTTTGTTTACAGCAGCCTGGCACTGCAAACTAAAATATATTTGGCAAGAGAGGTTAGGATCAAGCATGCAACCAGCAAAGCTGGTGAATATTGGACCACCCTGAGTGCTGAATATGAAAACTGACTGGATTTGCAGATGCTAGCAGTGGATTTCACTTGTAGCAATATACTTTATTGAATGAGTTACTTGTTCTCATTTGCATTTTTCTAGAGGAGAAAATGTAGAAACGGCAACTGAAGACATAATTGAAAATCACCTCCCTGCCCTCAAGCAAATGGCTCTAAATGGGGAGATTCATTTAGACAACATTGATGTCTTCTGTGAAAAAGGAGTGTTTGACCTTGAGTCAACGAGAAGGATTCTTCAGGCTGGGAAAGCTATAGGACTACATTTGAATTTTCATGGGGATGAACTTAACCCTATGAATTCTGCAGAGGTACACATCTTAATATTTTTATTTTTTTATCCTTTAGGTGTTCTTACTAGAGCTATTTTACTTTCATGTTCATACTTTTTTATCAGAATTATAGTTTCATATATGTCATACTGACACGGACAATCGCTATTTATTTTGCTGTAATGTCTGGAGCTAGTTTTTGTCACCTAACCAGGCCAGAATTTAGCTTTCAGACTTTGGAGCCTGCATTATTAGTTTCAGTGGAGGCTTAGGCACTGATAACAGATTAAGTTCGCACCACATCGAGGTCATCTCCAGACCAGATTGTTTCCGGACCCAAAATGCATCCTAATGTATCCCTATGCTATTTCTGGCCTCTGTTGACACCAGCGCAGCCCATTCCAGACCAGAAAAACACTGCTTGTCTAATTTTGTCTGGTCTAGAACGTATCAGAATGAATACAAATGCATGCAAACGCACCTGAAAGCCTATTTGTAAGCTAAAAAAACACGGCTGCAAAATTGTGGTAAAATCACTGCAAAAATGCGGCAAAATGCAATGTACTGCATTTCTAGGTCTGGTCCACAAAATGTCCAGACCAGAACAGTTTGTTCCCAGATCAAAAAAGCATCCAAATGTATCCCTATGTTATTTCTGTGCTCTGTTCACACCAGTACAGTCCGTTTCGGTCCAGACAATAAAAATACAGCTTGCCTCATTTTCTCTGGTCCTGAAAGCACTGGAATGCATTCAAGCGCACTGGACTGCACCTGAAAGCCCATTTTAAGCTAAAAATTAAATCCTGCGCTGAACTTGGCAAAAAATGCACTGCACTATGTTTTCCAGATCTGCTCCAGATCTAGTCCGGACATGGTGTGAACATAGCCTCAAGGTGTGGCCCAACTCCCCTGAATGCAGCCCACCTAGAGAAATGACTTGGTAATCAATCCAGCAATCTTCATTGTGAGGCCCTGTCTGGATCCGCATAGCCTTGCTTCAGAAATTGTCCCCATTGGGCTCCTTTTGATTGTGCTCATGCATGCATCGGCCTTATTCATTCCTATGGCGACAGCTATACTCTGCTGGAACCTGCCATAAATACAGTTCCCCATAGGAATTAATTGGGCCCTAAAACCTTAGGGTACATCTAAATCCCAGAACATAATTTTAATATTTTACAGATTACCATTCCTGAGGTGTGGTGGCTGTATTAGTTTTCTTTTTTCAGGCTGTTCAAGTGCATTTCTTGCACAAAAAAAACCTGTTGATCCTGCCAGAAATATTCTGTCCTTGTCATTTCCTGTGCACTCAACTGAAATCCTAACCATGCTATCGGCCTTCCTAGCTATCTTCTGTAAACTGCAAAGCAACTCCACCTATGTAATGGAGAATGGCCTGCCTGCTGTTTTATTTTACCTCTGAATATGAGGTTTGAGTGAAATTATGCTCATGGGTGAGGTCCTGGGTTTTTTTTTTTCTTCTGGGTTGGATGAACTGAATGGGAAAAAAACATCTTCCCTTCTTCACAGCCTTCCCTGTGTCTAATTTGCGTCTCTGCTTCATTTCTTTCTCAGCTTTTTTTGCTATACTGTACATTCAATTTCCTGTCTGCTGCCCTTTCTACCCCTTTTTTTACTGGCTTTTCCTGCCTTCTCTATAAAAATTGATTTGTTTATATAATGGCTGTAACATTTCTTAGCATGTTGTGCATTTTTTTTTTTTTTTTGGAGAAATAACTTTGAGGTGTTGAGGGTAGTGTTCTGAGTGAACCTTGACACCTTCTAGAGCAGGGGTGCCCATTAGGTCGATCGCGATCTACCAGTCGATCGCGATGTCCGCTCCTACCGCCGTGGGGCTTCTCCTCTGGATCCCCGCTGCTCTCCCTATATGTATGCAGCGGGGATCCGAGAAGTGAAGGAACGCTGCAGCCAGCGGAGGAGGGGGTGGAGGAGGGAGCCACTGTCGCAGAACTAAGGCTGAGCGGTGAGGAGAGAGAGAGAGGGAGACACTCGGCCAGGATCTGACAGTCGGTGCCTCTCTCTCTCTCCCCTCACCGCGCGGCCTTAGTTCTGTGACGGCGGCTCCCTCCTCCGCTGCCCCCGCGGCTGAAGTGCTTCTTTTACTTCTCCTCCGTTCCCCTCGCTGCCTCTGCACAGGAGAGCAGCGGGGATCCAGAGAAGCTGAGCCCCCATGTGCGTGGCCGAGCGGCGGAGGATCGGTACATATCAGTGATATGTTCCGATCATCTGTGCAGGACATACACTGGAGAGATCAGCTGATCACTCCGGTGTTTTTAAATAACTGGGGACACATAGTACTATGTGTCCCCAGTTATGAATGAACAGCGTATGATTTACATCACTTCCTGTTCATTCATGAGTTTCTGAATGGGGAGTAGCACTCTGTACAGAGGCTCCTCCCCATTCAGAAACTGGATGATCGTAAAATATTTTCTGAATGAATTTGAAGCCTCTGTGCTTTCCATTCCTTTAGAACAGAGGCTGCAGAAAAAGAGATTGAGGACACAAAGTCCTCAATTTCTTTTTCTATTTTAAAAGGGAAATATTAGGGGGCTGTTTAGACCCCTAATATTTTCCCAAAGCCCCCCAACAGTGAAAAAAATTTAAAAAACTAAGAAATAATATCAATAAACAAAAAAAATCCTGGAGGTAAGGTGCTGGGTGACATCACACGCCTGTTGGGGGGTGGGTGGGGGGAGGTTTGCCTCGAGCGCAAAAGGAGCTGGCTTTGGCTATGCTCCCGCAACTACCGGCTGAATGTGTCAGACGCCACAGATGGAAAGGGGCGGGACACCTCTTCCCCATGTGCAAAGTCGGCCACACCCATGTGCAACGTGGGCCACACGAGCACCGCGGGAGGACAGGATGCCGGGGCCTCTAGAACGCACTGGAAGGTAAGCTGGCTGACTCCCTGCGTTCAGGGGCAGGAGGGGGTGTGGGGTTGTATTGAAGTCAATTGCACCCCAGCCATGCCCCACGTCCAGTGCGATCTCCTTGAACACGGGTGCATTAGTGCCTGCATTCTGGTCAAGTGCGATCTGCAAAAATAGTGCTTGCAGCATTTTTGCGGATCGCACTGGACTGTAACGCAGGCACTAATGTGTCTGGGTTCTGGGTGCAGGTGATAGGCACTGTGGGCGAGGGGCTTGGCTGCGGTGCCATTGACGTCAATGCACCACCACGCCCCCTCCCGCCCCTGAATGCAGATGTTTATTTTTTTTGTTGGTAGATCTCATTGAACTCATCATTTGAAAAGTAGATCCAGTTAGGCCCAACAGTTGTGTGTGGGTTTTTTTTTTTTTTTCCTTGCTGATTGTGTCCACTAAGGGAGATGCCCCTTCACTTTCGGTCTCAAAAATACAACAGTAAGTAAGAGGAAATATCTCCAAAACAAAAGGTGTCCCCAATGGAAGATTCACCCTCGCCTACTGTTCCTGTGACAATTCTAAAATTGATTTCCCATCATCTGTACTGAAGGCAAACGGAGAGGGTGAATCTCCTCAACAGTAATACAAACCAGATAGGGGACTTAATCCTTCCACATTCTCTAGCCAAGTCAAAAACCTTTCTAGACGTTCCCTATAACATAGCAAATTTTAACTTTTTGATTTCATGTCCACTTTTAGTTACGTTTTTAGTTGCTAATTGTCTGATGGAAATATTTTAAAGCTCATGCTTGACATTTGCCTTCTGTATTCTTTGTAATGATGATGAATATTTATAAATTGTCATGCATGTTCATTGGTTTGACCTTTTTTTTTGTTATTCCTATATATTTTAGCTGGGAGCAGAACTGGGAGCACATGCTGTGAGCCACCTAGAGGAAATAAGTGATGAAGGGATAACTGCAATGGCTGCAGCCAAATGTTCTGCCATTTTACTGCCAACAACTGCCTATATTCTAAGGTAATACACTGTCTTCTAGTTATCTATACCAATTTTGACTTTAAACGTCCAATCTAAGTGATGCTTTTTAGCACACAATGGCATTAAGCAGATGTATTAGTTTAGGCTGAAAAGTCAAGCAGCACCTATACATGAGTCAAGCCAGGCATCTGCTTTATATGTGATCTGCTATTGGGTTTATTAGACAGGTCAGCAGATTTACTGCTACACATGTATATCTAATATTGGTATCCTGCTTGCAGAATATATTTTTACAGCCCTGTTGCTCCAAGCTAAGAACATTTTGGGTTAATTCCAATCCCTTAGCACGTTCGGAAATAAAGTATATAAGGGTCAGTGTTGAACAGCTTTGAGCTCGTGTTGATGACGACATCAGTTTGAGATGCTTCTGAGATCATCCAGAATTAATTGACAGATGCATTTGACCTCCTTACCTGTACCTGACCTGCTTCAAAGGGGTTTTGTATGGGAATGCAAAACTTGTTTCAAGGGAACAAAGCCCATTGACACAGGCCCTTTTAGGTTTTTCTCACCTCTCGGTCATCAAGTGAGCTCAACAGGTCATGTTTTTCAAGATTTCTCTTAGAAACAGTTGTGGCAATTAGGCTGGACTCCGACAACAGATTTATTTATTTTTTTTATATATATATATACATGTATGGAAACTACTATTTCTAAAACTGCTAAATACTGCCAATATCTGTCTGATTAAAGTATGTTGTCACTGTTCTCTGAATGTATAGCCTTCACCCCAGACAGCTGAACTTCTAGACTAGACTAAATGCGCACAGCAATATCTGGCAATAATTGGCTGTTTGAGTTGCTTTTCCACTTCGATACTATGTAATAAGTAATTATGCATATTTATTATTTTTCCTAGTCTAAATATTCATGAAAACTGTATTTATTTTCTGTTTCTCTAAGACTTAAACAACCTCGAGCTAGAGACATGCTCAGTGCTGGAGTCATAGTATCTCTTGGGAGTGACTTTAATCCCAATGCATACTGCTTCTCCATGGTAAGTGCTCCTGCTAACCTTCGTACTATTTAGAGTGCAAGTTACTAATGTTCTTCTTTTTCTTTTTTTTTTTTTAGTTTGTATAGATACACCAACCAATATTATAGCCATTTCCCACTGATGTAACATGCATGTGGTAAGCGGCCACAGTATATCCCCTCTTAGACAATTCTCAGCAGAACAAGTGTCCTCATTGACAGATTTCCTCTCTATTCCTATACTGATGACAGAGGTCACCAAGGCAAATAGAGGGCAAATCTATCCAGCAGAAATACGGGCCACAATAAAAACCTTAATGGTTTCGGACTTTAAAAAAGTTTTGGCTTTAGGTGCACTATAAGCCCTGATGTAAATGAGGGCTTATAGATAGAGCATTCTAAGTCTGTTGCTACTGATTTGTATTTGTTTGCTGTAGCAGTATTAATCTACTAAACTTTGTTCCTTTACTCTTACTTTCAGCCTATGGTCATGCACCTGGCCTGTGTCAATATGAGGATGTCGTTAAAAGAAGCTCTTGCTGCCGCTACAATTAATGCTGCATACTCTCTGGGCAGATCTCATACAAACGGTTCTCTTGAGGTTGGAAAACGAGGCGATGTTGTTATAATAAATGCCCCAAGGTGTGTGTCAGATGCCTCACATACTTATTATCTTGAGCGTTTAATGCAGTCTTTCCCAACCAGGGTGCCATTTTACCCTGGGGTGCCTTTTGCCTTCAGGGGAGCCTTGACATTTTTTTGCACAACATCATACCTTTCCATGGTGAAGGCAGACTTCTGATTTGAAGGGGGGACTCTGATGTTAAAAGGAGATTCTGTGTGAAATAGAAAAACTCCTGATGTAAAAGTGGGACGGTTCTAATGTGAAGTGGTACATTTTACGCATGCCTCGGTACCAGAGTGCCAATCCGCATGCATGAGAGGTTGACCAATCAAGGTGGCTGGAAGAAGACCAAATAAACATGTTAGGCCCAGGGAGGGAGCTTGTGGACATCACATCGCTTATTTTCAGTTTGGATTGACTTGGGAAGAGTGGATCACATTTATATTACTGTCAGTGAGATTTTGCCTTGCATACTGTCAGGATGAGAAATAAGGGGAGTGTTATCACTGGGAAAGAAAAACACACAGTATTAATAACCAGACAGAGGTTCTAAGCCTTCCCAATTTTACTGATAATGGGGCCACAAATAAAAACCTGACAGAGGTTCTTTAGGTTTTCAGTTAATTTGCACTGCCACCTAAAAATATTTAAAAAGGAATCGATCACCAGTTAGAAATACTGTACATGTGAAGGAAATCAAGTTTAAAAAGAAAACCAGGTTTGAATGTCTTTTCATCATATTATCTTATGTGCCCCTGATCCAAAGATCTTCAGAACACCCAAAACTCAGAAAAAATTAATTGCAAGAATTCCACTAGCTCCTTGGTGACTGTTTGAATATATTTTGAGTAAAGTTTTATGCCCGTTGTATAGCTTCAAACAACTGCAGAAGTACATAGTATAAAGTGCCTATTTATGCATATTGTATTGCCTACCAGTAGATATATATATATAATTTTTTTTTTTTTTTTCAGGTGGGAACATCTGATTTATCAGTTTGGAGGCCATCAGGAGTTAATTGAATACGTGGCCATCAAAGGAAAAATTGTCTACAAAAATGAAAGTGTTCTTGACCTATAAAGATCTAATCCAGAGAAGAAAAAAAATCTATTTTTTTTTGGGAGAAGTTTTTGCAGCAGTGTTGTGGACCCGTATTTGTACAACTAGCACTATTTTCTCTAAATCTCTCCATGTTCCTGCCTGTACTCTCAATGTAGAGAAATACAACAGCTAATGAACTGTTCTTGTCTTAAGCGGTCCATTACAGTAGTAAAGTGTGGGGGGCGTGAACAAATGGCAAAAGCTCTCTAAAATGAATTGCACCTCTCTGTCCTGACTCACTCATGGTTTGCTACAACAATCAGTAATGACAAATAATGCTTAAATGTTCTATTCAAGAAAATACACACATTTCCCAAAATCTTGTCCAATGATTTATTTCAGACTTATTTCTAGATTTCAGGTGCAAATAAGTTAGACCACCCATGGCATATATAATTTGTCAGAAGAGGTTTTGATCACCAAGTTGTCATGGAGGATGAAATGGAAATTAAGACTGCCTCTGTATTGGAGCCTCCAAATTGGAGAAGCTCTGATATGCAAACATTGACTTCTTTCCTAAAGTTGAGGGCTGTCATGCCCCTCCTGTCTCCAGCAGATGGCTATTACCGTGTTTCCCCGAAAATAAGACAGTGTCTTATTTTTTTTTTGCACGAAATAAGACACTAGGTCTTATTTTCGGGGTAGGTCTTATATTACAGACATCCCCGAAGATAGCGCTAGGTCTTATTTTCGGGGGATGTCTTACTTTCGGGGAAACACGGTAATTACTGGACCTACCTATTATATTTAAGAATCATTAGTTATATGCTGGAAGTTGTGGCCCAACCCTAGACTTAGCAGGTAAAGACTGTGGGGGGAAATTTATCAAAGCAATTGCGAGTGTTTGAACTTGCATGGAATATATTTGCACCAGATTTATGATGCTAGTGGAATGTTGTTCATAAATGGGGTTTAATAGACTCCAGGAAAGAAGACTTGTAACTCCAGGTAAAAAGCTTAACTGTCGTATCTTGAAGTGGTCATGGTCGTGGGGACTTCTTAAGTTGTGATTGTTTTCTTAGGTGATGCTCCAGTTTCATACAGCCCAGAACAAGTGTAGATGAAAACATGTTCAAAAAACATGCAACTAAAAATGTAGTGCAAGCTCTGAAGAAAACAGGTGCAAAACATGTGTCAAAATTGGGGCACATGTTGAAAGACAGATTTGCACTTAGAAAAATTATCTAAGAGGCTAAAACTGTCGCAATTGCTTTTGATTCCCCCCTGTGTATGTTAAAGTGCCTCCATTTTCAGGGGTCCCAGGTCACTTGAGGAGAAATTTAGGTACAAACTGTACCTTTTTCAGAGGGTGCTTTACATTTATTTTGCTGCTGTAGATCTTTTGTTCTGTGGAAAAGGTTCTTGAAGAAATCATAGAATTCAGTGAAGGCAAGAGTAATTTATTTATACCACTGTAGGCAACTATGCATCCAGAACCGCATGTTTATAGCACAGTACTTCTAAAGTAGTCCTATGTCATGGAAGGACAGTGTTTTCCACCAACATCCCAGGAAACACAAAAAGGCAGGTCTTTGCTGCACCATGGGTCAGCATATTAATGAGATCAAATGTGCCATGGATGGCAGCAAACCAGGGGGCACACCTTTCAGATATGCCTTTGTATCAGATGAACCCCTTTAAGATTAAAATACGGGTTGTAAAAGTGAACCGTATGCCCTGTAGAGAAGACCTGGCAGGAAACTTGAACAGCTGTCTGGCCCAAAAAATAGGGCCTCGGCAGAGTGCTGTAATACTTTTAACACTGCTTGATTAAACTAAGGTCTAATCCAGCCAACATTTGATTTTAGCATGAAGCACCTTTTCTATAATGCCAACATTCACAAAAGGCCCTGCTCCAGTGAAGCTTACAATGTGATCTCCCTGCATTAGGCCTACAGTACACATAAGACAGATGGAACTGTATGCATGGCAGTTGACTAATTCAGCATATGTGTCTGTATTATGGGAGGAAAACACACCTAGAGAAAATCCAAAGGCATGCAAACTCAATGCAGATACTGTCACTATGATAGGCAGTAATTATTTCTGCCAGTCTATACTGAGTGGCCAGATTATTATGACCACCTGACGTTTGGATAATTTTGCACTGAAGTTGCTAGAGGTCCAGACCATTATAAATAGGGAAGCAGGTTGTTTACTATGACAGTAGAAGTGATTTTCTTCTGAAGATATGGGTAAACAGCCTTTGAACGTGGGATGATTGTTGGCGATTGTTGGATGATTGTAAGAGCAGCTGTTGTTAAAGTGTTTAAAGACTGGACTGTCAGCCGAAAATCTGGGTCTGAAGGTGCGAATTGTGGCCGTCAGCGACTAGTCAATGTTAGGGCAGAACGGAGAGTGGCAAGACTGGTACCAGACAATAGAAGGGCAACAGTGCATCAAATTACTGCAGATCTTAATCGGGGATCCTCTCAAATGATCTCTGAACGCACTGTTCACCGTACACTGGATCGTATGGGATATGGAAGCCGAAGGTCTGTTCGAACACCTTTGCTGTCTGCAGTTAACAAGATAAAACGTCTCCAGTTCGCACAGGAACACAAGGATTGGACAGTCGAGCATTGGAAAAAAGTCATGTGGTCCGATGAATCACGTTTCCAGTTGCATCATGCAGATGGCATGAGTACAACCCTTCAAGCTGGTGGGGACAGTGTTATGGTTTGGGGCATGTTTTCCTGGCATGATTTGGGCCTTTTAATTCGTGTGGAACAACGTCTGAATAGCACAACATACCAAAGTATCGTTGCTGATCAAGTTCATCCTATTATGTTGATGGCGTATCCCAATGGAGATGGCTTCTTCCAACAAGACAATGCGCCATGCCACGGTGCTCGTATTGTGCAGGAGTGGTTTCAGGAACATGAGGGAGAATTTACATTGCTTAGGTGGCCTCCACAATCACCAGATCTCAATCCAATTGAGCACTTGTGGGACGAAGTTGAAAGAGGCATCAGGCAGCTGGTTCCACAACCATCAAATCTCACAGAACTGGACTGTGCTATACATCAGGCATGGTGTCAGATTCCTCGCATTACTTTTCAACATCTCGTGGAGTTAATGCCAAGAAGAATTGCCACAGTATTGTAGGCAAAAGGTGGCCGAACAGAGTACTGATGGGGTGGTCATAATAATCTTGCCACTCAGTGTATATATTAAAACAAAAATATATACAGTACGTGGCCAAAAATATGTGCAAGCCCCTTAAATTATAGAGTTTAGTTGTTTGAATTATATGCTGTAACATTTACAGCACCCCCTGCATTTCCAATCTTGAGGCAACAGTTTGAGGTAGGCTCTTTCCTGCACCAGTATAACTGTGAACAAAGCCAGGTCCATAAAGACATGGTATGATGGTTTTGGCGTGGAGGAACTTGTGTTTAAGTAAGTTTACCTTCATTAAACACCTTTGGGATGAACTGGAATGCCAATACGAGCCTGGTCTTTTTATTCAACATCAGTGCCTGAACTCATTCACTATTTTTAGCAGAAAGGGCACAAATTCATACAAACACGCTCGAAAATCTTGTGGCAAGCCTTCCCAAAATAGTGATTAAAGTTATAGCCACAAAGAGGGGATGACTCCATAATTGCCATGGTTTTGGAATGTGATGTCCACCAAGTTCACATAGGAGTTTTCCACAAACCTTTGGGCATATAGTATGCTATACTACTTGTGGTCAGTGTGACTGTTCTCATCAAATTAATCATATTAATTGGCTTATCATCCACAAATAACACCAAACCTCAAGTCACCCTCCTGGTTCATCTTAGGACAGTAAGAGATTAATATATTTAACATTTGTACTCCTGGTTTAACGAGTGTTTGAGCTTTGCACCTTAACTTTGACTGTATTTGAATGTAATAATTAAGTTATTAAATCTACCAGTTAATAAACAAAGAACAGGCTAAATTAATAGCATGCATTGTTTTAAGTCTCGGCCTATATTTTAATGTTCTTCTTTAAATCCACTGTATATATCTAAAGTAAACAAACAGGAAAAGCAAATGGGTAAATAGATACATTAAAGAAACATTTTTAATTGACTATGCTCATTATTATTAGTATTATTCAGGATTGCTTTAGCGTTAAAAAATTGATTAAATTATTATTACTTTTTTTTTTCTGTTATTGTTATGTTAAGCTATTTTCCCTTGGTAAACTATTAGTACTGTATTATTTAACTTGTATACAATGTTACTATGTAGACCTAGCAGCATCTAGGCGCATTCAGTCTAGCTGCATTTACACAATCATTAATTTTTCTGCATCACATGACTGTTTACCCTGGTTTTACACTTGTAAATGTGGCTAAACCCAGGAATGCAAAAAAACACAGAAAATATGCTTGAAGGGGGAAAGTGTGGAGCGTTGTGTGTCCACGGCTCATGCAATATTGGTGTCGGCTCCAACACCCTCCCCTTCGCAGTTCCTATCCAATTGTGAAAGAGACGTGAACCGTTCTTTCTCTCTGGAACAGACGGAGTATATTTTACACTTTGCTCACAAGGCATCCATTAACAAGAAACAGGCTACAAAATTTTTACTTGATGGTACTATGTACCGGTCACTCTCCACAGGATGTTTCCACTCATGTGGCCATTGTGTTGGAGATGCAAACAGGAGAATAGAACAATGCTCCATGTCTTTTGGTCCTGTTCGCGCATCCGACTGTTTTGGAACACAGTTCTGCCAGTGATTAAGCGAATGACCGGCGTCTCCTTTGAGGAAGACCCTGCCGTGCTGCTCCTCCACCTTGCGCCACTATCTAAGACTAATTACCACAATTCTTTACTGATCCATTTAGTCAATGCGGCCAGAGCGTGCATACCCCTCTACTGGAAACGTTCAGACCCGTTGCCTCTCCAACTGTGGCTGCAAAAGGTTGATGAGATGCGTATCCTGGAGGAGCTGACCGTAGGTCTCCATCATTGGGGGGAGAAATTCCGTAAAACTTGGTTTTATTGGAAAGAGTT